GCCTCCCCATACATATGTAGCAGTTGTGAAACTTGGTCTTCATGTGGGTCCTGAACAACTGGAGTGTGGGCTATCTCAAAAGCTGTTTTCTGTCTATGGAATATGTTCTTCTAGCTGGGCTGCCTTGTCTGGCCACCAGTGGGAGAGGTAGTGCCTATCCTCACAGAGATTTAAAGTACCCAGGGTGAGTGATACCCATGAGATCCCCACCTGCTCAAAGGAGAAGGGGAAGGGGATACAAAAAAGATTGTCAGGGTTGTTAGTTTGGAATCAGTGAGCAAGATGTAAAGTGAATAATTAAAAAATAAAATAAATAAATAAATAATTTTTTAAAGTAGTTCTCAAGGCTTCTTTCTTTCTCCTTCTCTCTCTCTCTCTCTCTCTCTCTCTCTCTCTCTCTCTTTCTCTCTCTCTTATTGTGTGAGAGTGTGTGTGTGTGTGTGTGTGTGTGTGTGTTTATCTGAGTTTGTTATGAGTAGAATACTGGCTTCATATAAAACAATTTAGAAGTTTTCTTTCTTTTTGTATTTTCCAGAATAATTTGATACATATTAGTGTAACATTTTGAAAACTAAGTAGAATTCTCTCCAGAATCCTTGTAGCCTTGAGTTTTTCTATTATTTATTTTGTTTTTTGAGATTATAATGCAATTTTCTTTATTTCTCTCTCATGCAATACATGCTGACTACAACTTCCATTCTGTGTGTGTTGTTACATACACACACACACACACACACACAGAGAGAGAGAGAGAGAGAGAGAGAGAGAGAGAGAGAGAGAGAGAGATTCCTAAATACATAAGTACAACCTTCTCACATCCACTGCTCTTCCATTTACCTTCAGAAAGAACAGGTCTCCTTGTTACATCAACTGAACATGACATAGCAAGATGCATTAAGACTAAGCATAAGCCGAAGGCAACTCAGTAAGGGCAAAAGGGTCCCTTGAGCAGACAAAAGAGTCAGAGATAACCACACTCCAACTGTTATGAGTCTCACATCTCACCCACTCCACACACCTCACTCCCCACTGAGAAACATGGAGTATAATAAAAAAACAACTAAAATAAGTCAGTGAAATGATTTGTAATGCTAGTCTATTATACTTATAGATTAGTTCCTTATCTAATCTTCATCAGAGAGGCTTCTTCCAGCAGCTAATGGGAGCTGATGTAGACCCACAGTGAGACATTTTTTTTAAAAAGATTGATTTATTTATTTTATGTATATGAATGCACCATTGCTTTCTTCAAACACACCAGAAGAGGGCATCAGATCCCATTACAGATGGTTGTGACCCACCATATGGTTGCTTGGAATTGAACTCAGGACCTCTGGAAGAGCAGTTAGTGCTCTTAACCACTGAGCCATCTCTCCAGCACCCCTGAAAAAATATTAAAGGACATGGGCAAAATGATAATATGGTAAGGAAAGTAAGTTGAAAAAATTATACAGGCGCTGTGCCATGAATTATTTTAATAATCATGTGTGGGGCTGGGAATATAAATATGGGGGAGTGTTTATCAAGTACAGAGGTGGGGGTTCTAACCCTAGCATCCTACACATATCCATAAGCAAACAAACCTCAGGTACACAAGCACACAGAGAGATGGAAAAGATGCAGTCTCTGAAAATTTGAGGCCAGCCAGGCCTACTTACATAGTAAGATTATATCTCAAAAACCAAATATGATTAATAATAATAATAATAATGACAGGAGTTTTATTTAGAAGTATTGTTCTGCCCCCTTGTGGGAAAGACAAGCAACACAACACTGGACTGAATCACCAGGCTACTAGGTTCTCTTATACAACTGCCACCAAGCAAAAGGACATCTTCTAGGGTAGGGAACACGGATGGAGGATCTGAACTATCTGGGAACAGAAATGGTCTTCACTGGGATTAAGAAGACAGGAGAAGAGGTGGACTTAATGGCTTGCCTTAAAGAGACTACTTACAACTAGTATCCACTGCCTACTAACTGCAAACCAGTTGTCCCACAGCTTTTAACATGTGCCACAATTTCATTGATACATCAGGATTTAGATAATGAAGGGCTAGCAGAATATTTTGTTGTGTTTTAGTGAAATTGGCTTGTGATTGAAAGGGTATTTTTTAAGTCAGTTAAATAATATAACAGGAATACAAACAGTTAAAAATAGGTCAGCTAACTTGCTAACCCAAGGCTGTTACAAGAGATGCAGAACAGAGAAACAAAGGTCAATTGAATGTTCTGAGAATCTGTTCTCATGGTTTCTGACTTAGCCTCTTCTGGAAAAACTCCCACCAGAGGTCCCAAGGACTAGTAAATTAGATTCAGCCAGATGGTCTGTTGACTCAGATAAACATTTACACTGGGTCCCAAGGCCACAGGGACCAGAGACTACTCTCATGAGATTTGTCAAACCTCTGCCTGAGATCTGCTTACACATATTATAGACATTTATAACAACCAATTGTGTGTGATTACTCACAACTCTTTCCCGACCCCCAGCCTTTATCTATAAAAACCCTAAACTGTTAGATCTCAGGGTCTAATCCTCTGTCTCCTATGTGAGACACGTTTCGATCCGAAGCTTCATTTATTAAACCTGACTCATGTTATTATAGCAAGAGGTCTCTAGAGTGCCTTTGGGGGGTTGCATCGTACCCAAGTCTATTTTTGGTTCTGGGAAGTCTTTCATGATAAAGTAAATAGGATCTTTTAAAAAATATATGACTTTCAGCTTAGAGAATACCATTCCTGCTTTCACCTTCTAAGGAGAAGATTTGGCTTAATTAATTACTTTCAATTTTTCCACAAAGATGAAAATTCCAGTTCAGAAGCTGCTATGTCTGTTATGTTGCATATGTTGACTTATGTAACTGGTTACATGAACATGTCTGAACACTGGAAAAATGTGTCTCACTGACTCAGGGGTGAGCAAGTTTTGCCTGTGTTTCCATTTGTCACATTAGCCTGCTACAGGAAATATTTGAAATGAAAGAAGCAATTATCTGTATTATTATTCTATGTCAACCTAGCCAGAATTTTTTTGTGTCAGAAGATGCTACTTTTCACTTATTGAAAGACACTTTAGTGTAGTTTTCATATAATATCAAATAAAATATTTAATATTTCTTATATTTTGTAGTAGGTGTTGGCATTCCTACTTGAGTTCAAAGGGATCCTGGAACTTGGGAGCCCAGGAACCACACAGCTCTGTGGTCAAACAGTATCCCAAAGGAAAGGCATCCTGAGATACCAGAACCAAGGAACCATATAGCTCGTTGAGGAAGCCTCCTTAGTAGAGGTATTGGAGCTGCTACAGTATAATAGCCCTGGTTCCCAGCTCCTCTACTTCAGGATAGCAGTTCCCAGGGAAGAGTATTCCCAGTACAGCTGAGGGACTCAGGAGCCTCAGCCCTGCTTTCCTTCTTCCATTCTCCTTTCTTCACTTCTTGGCTTCTTGGTTCTTCTGATGTAAGAGTCATACCAGGTTGTGAATCTCATAAAAAGAGATTTATAGAGAAGGATGAATCCAGGATGCGGAGGGACAAATCCACAGGTGTGCTTTTGCTTACTGCAGAAGAAAGCATGGAACTAAATAGTAGGCAAAACTTATATAGAATTTCATAAGTGGAAGAGCTTCCAGGGCAGAGACTTCCATGGTGAGGATTGGTGGGATTTCAAGAACTGAGCTTGGAGTTCAGGGATTGGTGGCTTTTTTTATAGGGTGAGGTCTGTGCATTCTCCTGCCTTGGGGGGCTGGAAACAAAGGATCTTTAGAACCATAAGGGAATGTCCTGCATTATGCATAGCTTGGGTTCCTGAACCGTGACTAAGGAACATGAGGGAATGAAGAAAGGACAGACACTGAAGGAGGGACAAAAACACAGATACAGTAAAGCTGGGATTGGATAAGTTGGTCTCTGATGGAGAAGCTGAGCATCACAGAAGCTTAGCATGTGTATTACATAAAGATGAACAAGGAGGAAGGGTTGGGTACTCCCAGTAAGAACAGACTCTGTAGGGGAGCAGTTTGGGGCAGTGACCATCCAGTGGGAGAAAGCAAAGGTAGACAGCTTTGGTTCACACTATACACATCTGTACATACACAATGGAAATGTAATTGTCTCTCATTAATGATAATATGATCATCTCTAGGGAAAAGTCTAAAAACTCTACAAAGCACACATACAGCTCATATATATTAAACATTAACCGTAATAAACAAGTTTGATACAGTGCCACAATAAATAGCAATCATAGAAAAGGTCATTGCAGTTCCATAGAAATACAAAAACAATCCATGTCAAAGAATGATAAAACATTTAAGGGTAAAATTCTAATGCGTTGTTGTCAGGAAACAGAACTACAATCTCATTTTGGGGAATATACACTGAAACATAAAAATGCCATCACATAATGACATCTACATTTATGCTATTGGATAAATTTATGACTCACAAAAGTTAAAATTGGAAATATCCTGTGTGTCAGTGAATGGATCCATTATAAAGATTTAATAGTTATCTGTGTGGGTATGAGATACACATCATAAAAATAAATATCCTCTAATTTGCAACAAATGATGAATGTAGAAGGTGTTTTCTATCAGAAGCTACTAAGTACTGTATGATCTCACTTAGAAATGATGTCTGAAAACATTTATCACAGGAATTAGAGGAAATGCTGGTGGAGGACACAAACTGCAAGATAAAACATAACTAAACATTGAGATCCAAAGTACAATAGGATGACAATAGTTAGCACCATCTTGTATATCTGACTTTCCAGACACTATAACTTAAATATATAGAATTTTATTTCTTAATTTCATATCAATAAAGCCAAAGAATGGTCTAAAAATAGGAAAACCAGAGAGATGGAAAGAACATAGCATACAATTGTGTGAGACCATGAAAACTTGAGGAATTGTCAGCAAAACTCCTCATGTGCACAAAATGGCCCCCATGTAGTCCCTGGTACATGGAAAATACTAAACAAAAGGTCATTTTATGAAGAAATAAGTACATAAATATACAGTTATATATGTGGTCCAGGGTTTTCATATGTATAACCATTTTCTTCCCACCTAAATTCTGTGACGAACAGGTAGTTATATAAGGGTGGATGACAATGAAATTGCATGTCAATGGAGAATGTGTGATTCATAAGTATACTTTCTTCATCTGACAAACTGACTTCTGTTCATCACTGCAATGGATATCATTCCAGCCCCATCCAGTATTCTTAGGATGATTTATTATAACACATTTTTCATTGTCATTGTTGGGCTCACCTTTGTGCCAGAATCTGAAAGGAAGGAAAGAGTATCAGGGTGTTTACTACAATAATGCTTGAAAAGAGGAATCAAGAGAAATCAAGTCTGAGGATAAGGTTGGAATTTGTAGAAATCAGATTCAAGTATGTACAAATCAAGTGTTCTCCATCACCCATATCTGATATTTCCTTTGATAACAAGGTCCACAGCACTTAATGTAGTATCTATGTGGTACTTAACTCATCTCCCAGCACACATCCAGAAGCTACTATTTCTTCATTCCTAGGTCTACCAGGGGAAAATTAACACATTTTATATGCTGAAAAGAACTCTCCTTATTCTCATGCATTAATATAGTTTTCTTCCATTTTACAACAGAACTATTTTAGAGACTAGAGAACTAGCTAAAATCTCTAAATAATCTACATATGTCTGTCATCAACAACAAATTCTTTAAAATTGTAGATTCCTGTCTTTTCTAAGGATGGTGGAGGGCATACAACATTTCCCTTACTACGAGCAAAGAACTGTGGGCAGAGGCAGTCGGAGATAGAGAGGACTGGGAGGCAGACACTTTCCTGTGTTCGAATCGAAGTCAAGCGTGCAAAAATGCAGAGCAATAAAACCTTTAAGTTGTAGAAGCAGAATCATACTCGAAGGAAGCATCATCCACATCCACCACCAGCAGCAGCTGCAACAGCCACCCCCACAATACCTGCAAGTGGACAGCATGCCAGAAGCCAGAATGAAGGCTTGACTGCTGACCTGAAGAATTTTAGAAAACCAGGAGAGAAGACCTTTACCCAACGTAGCTGTCTCTTTGTGGGCAATCTTCCCCTGACAATACTGAGGAGGAAATGAGGAAACTTTTTGAGAAATGTGTAAAAGCAGGCAAAGTTTTCATCCATAAGGATAAAGTCTTTAGCTTTATTTGCTTGGAAACACGAACCCTAGCAGAAATTGCCAACGTGGAGCTGGACAGTATGCCACTCCGTGGAACGCAACTGCGAGTGTGCTTTGCCTGTCGAAGTGCATCCCTTACAGTCTGCAACCTTCCTTAGTACATGCATAACAAACTGCTGGAAGAAGACTTTTCTGTGTTTGGCCAAGTGGAGAGGGCTGTAGTCATTAGGGATGACTGAGTAAGGACTTCGGGGGAAAGGCATTGTTGAGTTCTCACGGAAGCCAGCTGCTAGGAAAGCTCTGGACAGAAGCAGTGAAGGCTCCTTCTTGATAACTGCATTTCCTCTGCCTGTGACTTTGCAGCATATGAACCAGTTAAATGATGAAGAGGGACTTCCAGAGAAGCAGGTTATTAAAAAAAAAAACAAAAACAAACAAACAAACAAAAACCAGCAATTTCACAAGGAGAGAGACAGTCACCCAGATTTGCACAACCTGGGTTGAGTATGCCATGTTCTGGAAGGCACTAACTGAGATGGAAAAGCAACAGCAGGCAGCAGGATCAAGTGGACCAAAACACCAAGGAGGCTGGTGTGAAGCTGGAGATGGAGGTGGAGGCAGCACGCCAAGAGCGCCAGGTTATGCTAATGGGCAGGATTTGATGTGATGGTCAAGAAGAGCTTTGGAAGATGGAGGAGCTGTGTATACAAGAGGTCCAGAAATGAAAGCAGTTAAAACTTAGGCAGGAAGAGGAACGCAGTCACTGTGAGGAAGAGATGTGGCAACAAGAAGAAGAAATGATGCGATGACAGCAGGAAGGATTCAAGAGAACTTTCCCTGATGCGAGAGAACAAAAGATATGGATGGGCCAAATGGCTATGGGAGGTGCTATGGGCATAAACACTAGAGGTACCATGACCCCTACTCCTGTGCCACCTCTAGGTCCTTTGCTCCTCCAGGACCTGCCACTATGATGCCAGATGGGACCCTTGAATTGACCCCACCAACAAGCAAATGTTTTGGCCAAGCTGCTACAACGGAACAAATTGGATCAATTGGTGGAACTCCTCCTGCATTCAACTGTCCACCTCCTGGAGCTGAATTTGCTCCAAATAAATGCCACAGATATTAGATAAAGTTGCATTGTCTAGTTTCCTGCAGCCCTTAAAAGAAGAGCCCTTTTTGGACTAGCCAGAATCCTACCCTGGAAAAGTGTTAGGGTTTTTTTCCCAATAGATAGGTTTTCCCTGCTTGTACCACTCTAGGGAGTACACTTGAAGGTAGAGGGGCGAGAGAGGGGTGACATTTAACAAGCCAAAGTCTGTGGTATATTGCATTATCAAGTCTTCCCTGTGCATTTCTGAAGTATGTTGATTGTTGAGGTCCTGGAGAACCATAGGAAATTGGACTCAGAGCTCCAATAATCTTGATCATTCTCTCTCTCTCTCTCTCTCTCTCTCTCTCTCCCCTTCCTCCCTCCCTCCTTCTCCCTCTCTCTCTTCCTCTCTCTCCATCGTGTTTTAATTACTTTCTCATCTTATTCCCCATAACCCCAGAGACACTGCCATATATACCACAAAACCTAAACATCCTCCAATGACCTAGCCCTATCCCTCCATTCAGTCCCAGGTAAGAATTCAGACAAACATCTACAGAGGTTACAGCATACATACAGTTCTGTTATATCTCATATATGACCCCTTCATGTCCTAAGGAAGACATTTTCTCTTAAAGGTTTCCATTTTAGCATATATTTTTTAAAAAATCTTATATTAACCTGCCACCATCTTTTTCTTGGGTAAGGATTCAGACTTTTATGTTTATGATGTTGTTGTTCACAGCTTTTCTTAATAGGCCTGGTACAGTTTCGGGAACAGGGTTGCTGTGTGTTGTAGGTCTGACAGTAGCTCTTCATATTGCCTATCTTAGGTAGTTATGCTGTGCATTGTTATTGGTGTACTATAATCTGTTCCTGGTACCTTCAATTTGAAAATGTTTCTGAGAAAAGGAGCAGATATGCAGTAATTTATCCTTAGTAAAATATATTTGAAGTCTTTTCAAAACAAAATGTGGATTCCTAGTTTTCTTCTCTGAAAATTAAGAACAATAACCTCAGCCGGGAGGTGGTGGCACATGCCTTTAATCCCAGCACTTGGGAGGCAGAGGCAGGGGTATTTCTGAGTTCAAGGCCAGCCTGAGTGAGTTCCAGGACAGCCAGGTCTATACAGAGAAACCCTGTCTCGAAAAACAAAAAACAAACAAACAAACAAACAATAACCTCACTATATATTTCACACAACAAATATCAGAATAAAATATGTGAACACATTAAAAAATTAAGTTTTTAAATACTACATGAATATGAGACACAATAATATCAGATAGATGGGTTTTGGTTTATAAGAAATAATCACTTATGATCTTAACATGAATTTTTCTTAAGCATATATAAAGGAACACTAGGAGAGAGGTGTCTCCCAGGAGTGATGACACACCTGAGAGCACAGGTGATACTACCACTTCTGCTCAAATTCCTGGCCCAAGAGGAACCTGGCTAGAGACATCAGGACACAGGAACCAAGGAAGAGCAGGAGACAGGATCTTTCTGGTTTTCCTCTGTGCCCTGGAGCAGACCTTGTGCCACAGTTCTCCATACCCAATTTCCTCCTGGAGAGAACTGGTCTCCCAAGAGTACTGACACACAGGCTTACAGGATGGACAAGCCACAGCCAAAGACAGCAAAACCAGCTAACACCAGAGATAACCGATGGCAAAAGGCAAGTACAAGAACCTAAGCAACAGAAACCAAGGCTACTTGGCATCATCAGAACCCAGTTTTCAAACCACAGCAAGCCCTGGATACCCCAACACACCAGAAAACCAAGACTCTGATTTAAAGTCACATCTCATGATGATGATAGAGGACTTTAAGAAGGACATAATTAGCTCCCTTAAAGAAATACAGGAGAACACAGGTAAACAGGTTGAAGCCCTTAAAAAGGAAATACAAAAATCCCTTAAAGAATTACAAGAAAACACAACCAAACAGGTGAAGAATTTGAACAAAACCATCCAGTATCTAATAAAGGAAATAGAAACAATAAAGAAATCACAAAGAAAGACTACCCTGGAGATAGAAAAGAGATCAGGAGTCATAGATGCAAGCATCACCAACAGAATACAAGAGATAGAAGAGAGAATCTCACATGCAGAAGATACAATAGAAAACATTGACACTCAACAACTTACATTTATTTTTATTAATTTTCAATCATATACCTACTGTGGATGCTTCATGTCCTGGCTGCCAGTTTCTTTTTCTCATTAAATATTTTGTAATTCTTCACAGGAAATTTAACTTGAGATTCAACAGTAAGCAAGTTTTTTTCTACAGATTGATTGATTTTTTTCCTCAGTCCAGTGGCTGTCAGATGTCCTGCCCTTTTGACCTTACACATTCTATTACAATGAGTTTTGCAGTTTTGCACATTTTTTAAATGTCATTAACTGTTAGGGAGTTTTACTTGAATACTGAATACATATAATGTGTATATTAAAAAAGTCATTGTGTTAAAAAAGAAATTAGAGTTGCAGTAAATTTTCAGCACTGCACGAATAATAAGGCATTTAAGTTTTTCAGTAGAAATTGTCCTACAGATGATTTATGGACTTGCTATTGGAAGAATAGACTTTCTTAAATGTGCAGTGTTGAGTCACTTCGTTATAGTGGTAGAGTTGGGATTAGGGCTTCAATTTCACTTCTTAAATATCATTATATGTTTGCTATGCCCAGACTGCATACAATTTAAAGCAAGAGTATAACTGCTATTGTAATGGTGATGTGAAGATACTATTAAAAAGGATTTTCCCCCTTGGGGAAAAAAAAAGAAAACATTGACACAACTGTCAAAGAAAATGCAAAATGCGCGCTCTCTCTCTCTTGGTCCCTTGACCCCACGCCTGCAGGTTCGCTGTTCCCTTTCCCTTCCCCCCTTCCTTTCCCCCTCTCTCCACGTGGTCATGGCGGCCTCTACTCCTCTACCTCTCTGCTCTCTCTCTCCTCTTCCCTATCTCCTGATTAAACCTCCCCTCGTGGAACCATCTGGTCTGCTGTGGTCTGTCCCAAGCT